TAACTAACTAACTAACTAACTAACTACTAACTAACTAACTAACTAACTAACTAACTAACTAACTAACTAACTACTAACTAACTAACTACTAACTAACTAACTAACTAACTAACTAACTAACTACTAACTAACTAACTAACTAACTAACTAACTAACTAACTAACTAACTAACTAACTAACTAACTAACTAACTAACTACTAACTAACTAACTAACTAACTAACTAACTAACTAACTAACTAACTAACTAACTAACTAACTAACTAACTAACTAACTAACTAACTAACTAACTAACTAACTAACTAACTAACTAACTAACTAACTAACTAACTAACTAACTAACTAACTAACTAACTAACTAACTAACTAACTAACTAACTACTAACTAACTAACTACGGAACTTACGATCTTACGAACTAACATTTAGAACATTTCATTCAAATTTAAACAGCAAATTTTTCTGGGAGAACATAATTACAAAATTTTAAAAAAGTCGACCCTGAGAGCAAGCTATACTTTTCTAAAGCAATGAATCCATCACATTCAAACATACGTTTTTTTTTCAATAAGCTTTTTATCAAAGCATGCAAAAAAATGTTCTTTTTTATGAAATTTTCAGAGGTTGTCTCGGATTTTTGCTCATATCTCTGTTATTTATGGATGGATTTTGCTGATTTTAAATAGGAAACTTTTCGAAAGTATGTCTGCCGGAAATATTGCAGATTTGGACCCGGAAAATAACTGGGGTCTTAAAAAAATGATTTCAACAGACAGACAGACGGACATTAATCGACTCCGCTATCCATAAGGATCCGGAATATATATACTTTATAGGATCGAAAATTATATTGTGGAAATTACAAACGAAATGACAAACTTATATATACCCTTCTTACAAGTGTAGGGTATAAAAATATTAGTGATTTGAAGTTGGTAAAATTTTCTATTAAATCTTCTGTCAGCAAGTTTAAGCATTGATTATCTTATATTGCGACAAAAATACTTTATTTTATTGAACTAGAAATCAAAATATTTTATATTTATATATAAATATTGCTTTGGTATTTTCCAAAATATTGTATATTTTTCTATTTTCTTTAGAATAATGAAATGAGATGAAGATGTAAATTATGTTTAAACCAAATGCTCTAACTCTACTCTAACGAAATAAAGTTTATTAGCGATATCTTATCTTGGCCCAAAATCTTGCATATGTTAAACAAGATGTCCTTGTATTTGGAAATTGGAAACTTTATGACAATATACTTATTGCTGTTGCTACTTTTATATAGATATTGAGCAACGTTTTAACAACAATGGTTTTGAAAGGATATATAACAAGCAGAAAGGTATTTATTGTTGTCGTAAAGTTTCCACTTTCAGAACAAGGACACATTGTCATCTTTTCTCAAAAGGCAATGAGTTTTTTTTTTATGCAACAATACCAACACAATTTACATTTAAGCGCAATCAATATGAAAAATTATTAATATTAAATTTTATATGGAAACATTATTTTGTTTTTATTTTTTTGTCTTTTTTAATACAGCAAAAAATGAACGACTCCTTAATTTATAATTACACATTAAAACCCACTGGGAAACATATACACACATGTTCAAACAGACATGTATATGGAAACATAGATGAAATGTCCTGCAGATCAGTGTGGTGTTTGTCTGCATACAAAATGAACAATATATTATTTCTTAAATAACTATTAGTGTTTAGAATACTTGGAGATCTTATCTTTTCAATAGTTGCCCCGCAGCGGAATCATATATCCGGAAAAAGAAAATACAATAGTGAGTCTGAGCTAATAGAGAGGACAGCTCTCTCGAATTAAAGAGTATCATAATATTAATAAGAAGCGGAACAGTATACGCTAAAAATCCGCTCCAGTGTATTATTCAAGTTATATACTGAGATGAACTGTTGATTAGGCAATATTTGGTAGTCCGAAAAGACATAGGGGTCAAGGAACGAATGTAGTAAACACCGATACATACCTGAACAAAAAAGAGGAAGTATTCGATAAAACAAATATTAAGTTAAAATGACAACCGATATTTATCAGAAACCGATACCATAACTCCAAACATTTATCTTCAAAAACTCTAATGAGAAACATTTACTCATGTATTCGACTAGATTTTATAGGGGGAATTCTGATTTTCTCACAACTCGCTATTTAGTGAATTGATTCTGTAAAATTTTCAGGTTGAAAAACCTTAGGAATCGATCTGCCTTTATTCCTCTTACCATTTAACTTATATAAGCTTTGTTCTTTTTAGTGTTTGTTGCTCTATCTTTAGCTCTTGACACTCTACGAAGGAAATCACAATGGACATTATGGTCTTCGAGTGGAGTTACATCTTTATGGTTATGCACCTTCTTAGCATTAACCTATCCATCCCAACCAGTCCCACAGTCACTCTGCTATGGTGGTGTCGTTATCAGTCTTTTAAACAACATTTTGTTCCAGCAATTGGGTCACAACCACAGCGAGCACGTGAAATCCGAAGGTACCTCACCAATAACTCCTTATCTATCTATATCTATTCCCTGGGACTTCAATAACAACAAAGTTAGGATATATATACCAAGACGCCCCGTGCGGACGATTGGTAGGAAATGAGGTTAATATACTTAATCGATAAATGCCCGAACGTCTTGGTTCAGATCTTTAATTAAATCGAATTTTTGAACGATCTTAAGTGTTAAAGGGTTAATGTGACAACCAGGCCTCACGGTGGCCTTTTTCACGCTATGACGGGAGTAAATTTTAAACATGATTCTGAAGAGCATGCAATCACTCAATTGAGAGAGAGGAGGAGGACTACCAAGTTCATTATAATGAGTGATGCCGAATCAAACTTATCCTATTTAAAGGCTGCGCATCTACATTACTGAGATAGCGTTATAATTTCGACAACAGCACTTATTGACATATTTGGTAGAACGGAAAAAAAAGAGGTAAAATAAATCGGGTGAAATTATCATATATTAAGTGAACTGAACCCAATAATTGCCCCGACAGGAGAAGGAAAACCTCAACCACAGCCAAAATATGAGATGGCAACATCACCGAAAATTTTCACGAAATAACAAGGCATACTTCATCAGTTCCAATTCACCATAGTTGGACAAATACCAATTATATTTCTCCGAAATATCACCAAAGTTATATTAGTTCCTTCTTCTTGTATAAAGATTATCCAAGGAATGACCGGCAACTACTATGTGTTAACCCCGACATTGAAAGAGGCAATCACCTACTACAGAAGACTGGCAGGGGCACTCAACATTCTATTGTCGCGAATATGTAGTACAGGACAAATCTTACTGGCAATAGATTTCGAGAAGTCAATTGACACTTCCAGTTTATGGTCTTGGCTGACCCGAGGTATTGGTAGTACCTTTTCTCAAAAACACCAAGGGGAAACTTGTAAGATAGTTGGGTATAAACTAGGGCCAAATTAGGGTCCTAGTATATTCCCAATATAATTTAATAGAGATTTCAATCGATAAGTATGTCATAATTTGGGTCCTGTCGAAATTGTTTTCTTCTTGTAAACAAATAGGAAATGTCTTCTCTCTAGATTTCATAGAGACTTCAAAGACACTTTCACTGCACTACTTAGAGACAGTTAAGTGATGATATAGAAAAAAGTGGGAGCTCGATAATGTTAACCTAACAAATGCAAACCCGTCTGACATAACAAGGGCTGTATTAATCACGAGGCAAGAGAATCCCTTGCGGTCCGATACAACAAGGGCTGTATTAAACACAAGGCGAGAGAATCCCTTGCGGTCACATGGAATAATGAAACATTTGGTGGATCAATGATCATATGGTTTAAACCAAACGAGAAGAGGACTTCCGCAGAATGAGCAAATGTGACGTTAGTTTGATGCTACATATTCTGAGTGAATACACAGGAATTGAACGAGCGCCTTCAGATAAATGTAACTCTTTCAGTTTGTGATCTCGTCTCATCAGAGGTATTGGTAGTACCTTTTCGGAATAACACCAAGGGAGAATATGTAAGATAGTTGGGTCCTAGTATATTCCCAATATAATTTAAGTAGAGATTTCCATCTATAAGCATGTCGTAATTTGGGTCCTGTCGAAATTATTTTCTTCAAATAGAAAATTTCTTCTCTCTAGATTTCATAGAGACTTCAAAGACACTTTGTCTGCACTACTTAGAGGCAGTTAAGGGAGCTCGAGAATGTTAACCTAACAAATGCAAACCCATCCAAAACAACAAGTGCTGTATTAAACACGAGGCGAGAGAATTCCTTGCGGTCACATGGAATAATGAAACATTTGGTGGAGCAATGATCATAGTTTTTAAACGTAACGAGAAGAAGACGAAAGGCTTCCTCAGAATGAGCAAATCTGACTTTAGTTTGATGCTATATATTCTGAGTGAATACACAGGAATTGAACGAGCGCCTTCAGACAAATGTAGAGCATACGGAGAGGACCGTAAAACTCTGGAACATTTCCTTTGTGATTACCAGTTTTTCGTCGAAATTAGACCCTATTCCAATTATCTTGGAAGCCGTGTTGTAGCAGATATAACATCCTTCACGAAAACAGATTGGAAAACTTGAAAGAATCAGCATGTCCCGCAAACTAAATTAAAAAGGATACATTAACTCCTTGTAAAACTGTGGAGGTTTTTTTGCAAATGTCTGCTTCTAGAAAAGTGCTTCTATAAGTAGAGTTTATATGACAGAAAAGAACAAGTACAAGTAAATAAAATGACACAAACACATCCAATAATAAATATACAAAAATTCCCATATACACACTTTTTTTTACACAATTGTCGGAAAAACGAACGCACTTCGTTTGGGGGTAACAACAAACAGCAGCAGCTGCTGGCAGCTGTTGCTGTTACTGCTGCTGCGGCTGTTGCTATTGCCGGCATAAGCACAAGCAAAAGTGTTGTAATTAAAGTCTATCGTTAACAACGCATCACAATCGCACAGTTTCTCAAGAGCCGCGCATACGAATGGACACGTTTTTCCGCAAACAACAAGTGAGAGTGGACGTTATTTATTTCAGTTAAATTTTTATTCAAGAAAAATATAAATAATAAAAATTTTAAATATTAAAAAAAACTAAATAAAATAATTAACTGCACTTGTTTTGTGACAAAAAAAAACTAGTTTTTATGGCTGTAAATTTATTAATCATTTAATTGAAGAAAAATATTTAAGTGTTAAAAATTTACAAGAAATTTATTTAACTAGTAAATAAATCAAAGAATTTTATTGTAACTGTCTAAAAAATTTGAAAGTTGGTTTTAAGTGGTTTTTCTTTTGCCAAAGAACACTTGTTTACAAACTTATAAAAACAACACAAAAATGTTAATTAAATTAATTTTAAAATTAATTTATATTACTCTACCTTTGGTAAGCCTTTGCCATGGCTTTAATACGGAGTCTACAGAAACTTCTAGTGATTTGTACGATAATTTTACTAGTACAGAATCCTCTACTTCATCACTGCCCAAACAGTTGTACCAGAATAAACGTCGTTTACTATTGAGCGCTATCGTTATAGTTCTTGGAGTGATTGGTAATTTTTTGGCTTTAGTGATTTTGGCGCGCAAAAAGGCCACCAAACATAGTAAATATACGTTTATGTTGCGGTAAGTTCTAAGTTTGGTTTGTTTATAGCAAAAATAAACAAAAAACAAATAGTTTGTAGAAAAAAAACTTTGTTTATACACTCATAAGAAAATGTTAGTTAAATTTAGGGAAAGTAAGGTTTTAATTTAATTGTCGAACATTTTCCTTTTTTATCAAAAACTCTTATATCTTGAACACATAGTACTTTTTCTAGACACTTTGTATATCAAATGATAGATTATAGGATATCTTACTGGAACAATCAGTCCATATAAAGCGCGGCAAGACTTTTTACTTTACTGAAATCAATTAAAGATTATTTCTTAATTTGATTCTATAGACATGTAAAGTCCAAGTTTTTTCCTAGTATGAAATAGAAAAAACTCATTTCAGAAGTTTATTCACAAAAAAATATAGCAAAAACTATTGGGATTAGAGTCACAATAGTGGCATATTCTCAAAAGTTATCTAAGCCCAATTTAAATAAATGAAAAATCAAATATATTATTAGAAATTTCAAAAATGTGAATCCTATTTCTAATCTATCGAGATATCATATCCCAATGTTTGAAAAGCCTAATTTAAACATTATAAAAACACGAAACAGTTTTATTTATAAAGTTTATTACGTCATCTGAATGTTGAATATGTTGACTTTAAAGTTAAAATAAAGTCCAATATTTCCTTTATTTTACGTGAGGATAAAATAGGAAGCATAGCTTTAGTGGGCAGCCCATAGAAATTAAGTGGGAAATTTGAGTCAAATCTTTGACATCCATGTAAACATTTGGGTAATAAATTGGCGAACTTGATTTTCTCTCCCATAAGAATTAAATACTAAAATTCGTTTACCTAGGAAACTAGTAGAGCTAGAGTCACATTTTTGGGTAATAAATTGGCAGACTTTCAATAGTGGGCTTGGCACCTCTCATATAAATTAAATAAAAAAATTCATATATCTGGGAAACTATTAGAAAATCTTAAAAAATCGTAAAGTGGCTTTATATTGATTTTAGGTTAGCAACGCACACCTTATAAGTTATACATTTTGAATATGACCAAAAACTAGTTTTCTCAATCCTCAACAAGTTAGTTAGTTAGTTAGTTAGTGTTAGTTAGTAGTTAGTTAGTTAGTTAGTTAGTTAGTTAGTTAGTTAGTTAGTTAGTTAGTTAGTTAGTTAGTTAGTTAGTTAGTTAGTTAGTTAGTTAGTTAGTAGTTAGTTAGTTAGTTAGTTAGTTAGTTAGTTAGTTAGTTAGTTAGTTAGTTAGTTAGTTAGTTAGTTAGTTAGTTAGTTAGTTAGTTAGTTAGTTAGTTAGTTAGTTAGTTAGTTAGTTAGTTAGTTAGTTAGTTAGTTAGTTAGTTAGTTAGTTAGTTAGTTAGTTAGTTAGTTAGTTAGTTAGTTAGTTAGTAGTTAGTTAGTTAGTTAGTTAGTTAGTTAGTTAGTTAGTTAGTTAGTTAGTTAGTTAGTTAGTTAGTTAGTTAGTTAGTTAGTTAGTTAGTTAGTTAGTTAGTTAGTTAGTTAGTTAGTTAGTTAGTTAGTTAGTTAGTTAGTTAGTTAGTTAGTAGTTAGTTAGTTAGTTAGTTAGTTAGTTAGTTAGTTAGTTAGTTAGTTAGTTTAGTTAGTTAGTTAGTTATTTAGTTAGTTTTTTAGTTAGTTGCTTAGTTAGTTAGTTAGTTAGTAGTTATTTCGATTCAGAAGTGATTTTTACTTTAAGGTGGGAGTAGGACCAATATTTTTGGGTGTTACAAACATCAGCACACACGCATAATACCCTCCTCACTACAGTGGTGTAGGGTATAAATAACAAAAGTCAATAAATCCAAAAAATAAATACATAATTGTCTAAAAACCTTGCCAATTACTATAATAATTTATTCAATAATTATTTAAGAATAAACGAATCTACTTAATTCACCAACATATTTTCTCTAGTGTATGAATTTTTGCTATAAAGTGGCATTTTATTATATAAATTACAATTATTTACTATTAAATAAAATAGAGTTCAAGGCATTAGTTTATTGAACTTATTATGTGAACAATGTTTGGTTTAAAAATTGTGTTATCTTTTTTTTTAAACATGCCAAACAAAATAATTGTAATATTTGTTTTGAAAGTTTTGACATTTTTATTGCTGGTTTTAATGTTTTTTATAAAATTTTCTAAACCAATAAATCGGGTTTATTTTTAGTTGTATATTTACATATTGTAAGTAAATCAAGATTTAATTTAATTAGATGTGTATAATTTCATTCAAATACATTATAGATATACTTATTATAATAATATGCATTTGTATGAACAGCATTATGATGATAATAATAACTTATATAACTAATGATGTGTGTCGTCGAACACTTAGTATTTAAATGATTTAAGTGTGACCACTTTATTTGTATCTATACGACTCCTTAGAGTCTCATTTATTTATGTTTATTGCTTAATATTAACTAAATGTTTAAAGTCTAATAGAATTTAAAAAAAAATGTATGTTTGTATAAATAAATAAAAAATGATTTTGTTCTTTTTTTAGTGTCATTTAAATTCTAAACGTTGATTTCAAAATTCACTATACCTACACACTGTGTATAATTTTGTTTGCTGTTTTAAGTTTAAAATAAACGTATTTTTTCTCACTTAAGTGATGATGAATTAGTTTAATATTTTAGTAACACAATCTTATGTGTATTTATTTAATTTTATTTTCCTAAAGTTTATACAAAACAAAAAAAAGTGGACAAATATTTAAAATGAAATTTTTAAAAGTCATGTATGTATTAAATATACATCATCAGGGGTGAATAATTAAAAAAATTAATTGCGTTTTTTAATTATTATATATAAAACACTTTTTTAAAATAATCCCCTTAAAACAAACTATTTTTATATACTTATTAAAGTAGTTTATAACCAGGGAAACCCAACATAGCAGTGAAGGGGAGCAAAAAGCTCTTTTTAAGCATGATCGATTTTAAAGAAATATTCGGAAATATATTTCCTTTCAGATATGTTGGCTTTAGTTTTAGCTATTAACATTTTTGTATTTCTTTTTTATATGAAAATAGTTTTTTAAATCTTAATTGCCCCAGTGGCACATGGTCCCCTTTATACATTATGTTTTAAAGAATAAGGTTAGGTGGGTTGCTCGCTAGTTAGCGAGTTCACTAGGAGGTTTGTGGCCCATTGTGGTACACTTAGAATTAACATTCCCTTATGTTGAGAGTTTATACTTAAGGGAGAATGTGATACTCCTAAGAACCAGCCGGTACTTATAATAAATCCGATCATATTTACTAGTAACACATCTCAGAGACAGTCCAGATCATGGAAAAATGCTCTACCAAGACAAAGTATTCTGTACTCTCGTAGGCTGGACAGTCACATAAAAGATGTTGTACCGATTCTTCGTCTTCCTCACTCCAAACAACTTTTACAATAGCTATAACGTAAGTAGCCCGACAATGTCCATGCACATTGTGCCCAGTATACCTGTGCCAGTGATCGGATACAATTGAGAAGACATTAAGACTTAATAACTTTAGAGTTAAGAGTCTTGATTGATGCAAGGCTGTTCAAGTGGATACGTATAGTAGAATTTTCGAATTTCAGTTCCCGGATTCTTCTCACGACTGCATCGATGGCATATATGTATATATGACTGAAAGACCGGGAAGGTGTTAGGTAGTCGAAGTAAATCCAGTTTTCCGGAGAAAATTCTCGGGACCATGCCTCTTCTGTGTTTGAACCATCATTATATATTGAGATCAAAGTAACTGCCTATATTGTAGGAAAACATAAATAGAGTCCTCAAATTTTGTATGGGCAACTTAGACATCCATATGAACGTTTGTGGAAAAAATGGGCGTGCTGGCTATAGTGGGCGTGGCACCTTCCATCGACATGGCCGACCATATGATACCCTACACCAGTGAGTATGTAAAAAATACTTTAGGGTGGGTGTAGGACTAATATTTTTGGGTGTTACCAAACATCAGCACAAACGCATAGTACACCCTCCCCCCTCTATAGTAGTAGGGTAGTGTAGGGTATAATTATTAAATTGGTATATTTGAGGAAATGTAACAGCCATGTTCCTAAATCTTTCAATATGAATATGCACTAGCAATAGTAGAATGATTCCTCCCTTATGAATTGAGATATCTGGGAAACCAAAACTGGCGGATAAGCAATATAGGGGCGTGGCACCTCCCATATGAGTTAACTACGAAAATGCGTATATCTGGGAAACCGTTAGAACTAGATTCCTTTGAAATAACAAAAATATTAAATTAAAAAATAAATTTTAACTATTACAATCTACAAAAAAATATCGATGTTAATTAATGATTTATATGTTTAAGTTCATTATTTTAGGGAATTAACAATAAAATGCAGTTAGCTTTGAAAATATAAAAAAAGGATGTTGCAGAAAATAGTTTTTTAGTTATAAAAATAATAAAATTAAAGAACTATTTGCAAACAGAAAAATATTTTATAGATAAAATAAAATATTTCTTGAATTACAAAAGTCAAAATCAGTTTAAAAATAATATTGCTTTAAATTAGAATTTTAAAAGTGGTTAAAAAGAATGATGCAATATTCCTAAATATACTGATCATGCCATAAGAGATCTATAGAGTTCATTGGCACACCATATACATAATTGCATTTATGTATTTTTATGCATTAACACCTTGAAAGGCTAATTAAGTTAAAAACAATAATTTATAATATAAAATAAATAAAATTTACAATAAAAATAGTTAATTGTATTGTAATCGCTGTAATGATTAAGGTGATTTTGTCTATTATTTTAGGGGAATTCCCTATAAAATGCTTGTTGTCTTTGAAATTGTAAAAACAAACTCCCAGATTTTTGCAATATGTACCTAGTTGGTTATTTATCAAAGTAATTGTTTACAAACAATCAAAATATTTATTAGATAAAATATTTTTAACTGATAAGTTATATCAGAGTTGAAATTATAACTGAAAGTAACTCCCTGATAATTACGAA